ATATACCCTCCAGAGGTCTCAGATTGCACCACAGAGCATCTCGAAAAACAAAAATTTTCTGGGGGAGGACCCCCCCCCCCCAACCGCCTTTCTGGGGTTTCCTCTTTTTACAAAGTCAAGCTCTCACAGGCCTGTACTACTAGTACTGCTGCTGCTGCTGTTGGTGTCCTGCTACTACTGCTGCTGCTGCTGCTACTACTGTGGCTGGTGTCGTTGCTACTACTAGTACTGCTGTTGCTGCTGCTGTTACCACTGCTGTCAGTGCTATTGCTGCTGCTACATTGCACACAAACGACCGTTCGTTGCAGAGTCGCTCATACACTGCATGACGACGTCGGACGTGGTGATGCAGCTTCTGGCGCTGCCACAGGCGGCGCTGCAGTACATGCAGCTCGTTGTCTCCCAGGTGGCGCTACTCGACGAGGACACTCTCCTTCACCTCGCGCTGCAGTTCGACCCGTCGCGCGCCGCCATGAAGCCCTTCCTCTCTCGCGCCGTGCAGCACCGCAAAAGGTGCGTCTCATCGTCGGCCGTTGCCGAGGGTGTTGTTTTCCCTGCGACATTGCGAGGAAACGTAACACACGTCTGCACGCGTGGGAATTTATTGCGAATTAATTAATTTATAGGGAATTTATTGCTAATTAATTAATTTATAGGGAATTTATTGCTAATTAATTAATTTATAGGGAATTTATTGGGAATTAGTTAATTTATATGGAAATTATTGGGACTTTATTAATTTATAGGGAATTGATTTAATTGGCAAGTTTATTAGGCTTTGTATGGCTCCACGGAACCGGCTATACCGTTGGTTGCTCTAGTGGTAATATTTATGTTGAGTGTCTGCTGATGTAAAACACGTGTACAACCATGTACAACACTAATTTAATCTGGAGCTCCAGATATAATTAACGCAATGGCATTTGCGTAGCCAGCCGAACCGCTGGCCGCTTAAATTGATTACGTCACAAATTTCCTATGGTGTATCTTTGTAAAATTTGTGTTGCAATTTTTCTACATGAAAAGTAAGTACTAATGTAATAATGAGATACAATGTAACTCAAATGTATCCTCAAATTCTTACCCAATAAGATTGTTTCTCAACTAGTTAAAAATCTAAAAAACCTGCGTGATTTTGTTATATTTGTCACGACATTAAATGCTTGCTATGGGCTATGTATGAGTCACGAATGTTTGTTCACATTGAACGGAATAGCAAAATAGGAAGTATGATGCAGCAATTTAACCATAAAAAGTGAACAGAATCACTTACATTTTGTGAAAAGTGGACATAATTTTTTTTACTTTTACTATTTACGGTGACGTAATCACTTTAAGCCGCCATCATAAATATTCCCACTAGAGCAACCAACGGTAGTCGGTTTCATCGAGCCAATACGAATAATAAACTCGGCAACTAACACTTGGAATGCGGTTGCCACGGTTACTCGTTGATGCAGGACGATGGACGGCTCGATGAGCTCGGTCGCGAGCGAGACTGTCATCGACTTCGTTGGCGCGGAGCGGGAGCCGACGACGGCGACGGCAAGGGAGCTCTGCGTGGAGGACGCGATCGAGTTCTACCTCACCGTGCTGCTGGCGCTGGTCGCGCAGCAGCGGCGGCGTTTTGGGCGGAGCGCGGGCGCGAAGACGCTGCGATTCGACGCGACCTTTGCTCACGCCGGCGACGGAGCCGACAAGGAGCTGGTCAGTGATGGCGTGAGTGAGGGAGGATGTTAGTGCTGTCGACGGGAGTCGTGCGTGTGCATGCTGCGTGAATGTGCATCTGTGTGAGTGCGTTTGTGCGTGTAGTCCCTCGTACAGGCGCAAAATCCCTCATCCATATCCCGCTCCCGAAATCCTCTCGCTCATGTCTCCACCTGTCTCTATTTCTCTCTTCCTCTTTCCTTCTCTCTCTTCCTCTTTCCTTCTCTCTCTTCCTCTTTCCTTCTCTCTCTTTCTCTTTCCTTGTCTCTCTCCCAAGTTCGCTTGTACGTAACCGAAACCACTTCGTGGTAGCGTTGCATCTTCTGTGCTCATGCAGACTGTTTCGCTGTCTCTTCACGTCCACATCATTTCCAGATTGAACGAGATACTGTGATAGTTTCATGCCAGCCGGTCAGCGTGGCGGCCGGTCACTCCCATTCGGCCGTCGTCGTCGCGGGAGAACTGTACACGTGGGGCAAGACGGATCGAGAGCGGTCAGTATCGCGAAACTCATTCAAGCTCTCATCTCGCTCGAGCATAACAACTAATGCGATTCACGTAGTTGCGATATCGCGTTGTCATGTTGTTATGAGTGGGTCTCCTAGGGTCACCGCTCACTGCACGGTATTTTTCTTGTTGTCGGATGGCGGTTGAAGCCGTGGGTTATCACACTGGTACCGTGACCGGAGCGAGAGTCGCAAAGCTAGCGAGGTTGTCAGAATTTGCACGTCTATGCACGAGTACTATACTATCTATGCATGACTTGAAGATAGACTAGGAACCAATGTTGCGGTGCACGTCATGGATTGTAGATCAGTGTTGTATTGATATTCTGTTTTTGATTTTGGCAGAAGGGTGGGATAATATCCTAGTGATAAACGGTGGTCGTTTTAGTTTGTATGACTACTGCAGAGCAGATTAATTTTATCATTGTCTTTGAAGAAAATATTGCAATGGCCTCGAAATTATGCTATAGTATTGGAAAGCATGATCGATTCCTACTGTTTGATGAGTAATCGCAAATTAAAGCCTTGATCCATTATATCAGGAGTAGATAATAGGGAAGGAGTGTGACTTCAATAAACAAGGGAAATTCGTCATTTACTAGCCTTATAATACCTACGATTTACTACGCGTAACTCATCCAACTTGAGCTCAAATCGGACACAGTACATTCGACCATCATCGTACCAGATCGTTTCCTCGTAGACACCCGCAATCCGGAGATACAGACTAAAACATACGACACGATTCTCCAATCTTTGTCCATTAATCAACCGTAGCAATCGCCTATACTTCAAACAAAAGGCAGCTACTAACCACACTGTCCACGGGGCTTGCGCTCACGGCGAGGCGCTGTGGCTCGCAGGGAGCTGCTGCTGATAGCGGATTGGCGTGCGTGCGTGCCGGCATGCCGGTATGACATACAGGCAAACATTGTAGCTGTCTACCGGGTCAAAGGTTATCTCGCCGAGTGTTGCGTTGATGCCTAATCACCCTGCTAGCCACAGCGCCTCGCCGTGAGCGCAAGCCCCGTGCAGTGTGGTTAGTAGCTGCCTTTTGTTTGAAGTATAGGCGATTGCTACGGTTGATTAATGGACAAAGATTGGAGAATCGTGTCGTATGTTTTAGTCTGTATCTCCGGATTGCGGGTGTCTACGAGGAAACGATCTGGTACGATGATGGTCGAATGTACTGTGTCCGATTTGAGCTCAAGTTGGATGAGTTACGCGTAGTAAATCGTAGGTATTATAAGGCTAGTAAATGACGAATTTCCCTTGTTTATTGAAGTCACACTCCTTCCCTATTATCTACTCCTGATTATATATATATACCATGTAATTATGCATCATACATTATACATAATATTATGTTTATTATTATGTTTAATATTTATGTATTATACATATACCACATGATTATCACTTATGTGAACTGAACACGGTCATGCGAATGCTACTCGAATTCACCTGCCACATTTTGTCGTTTTACCTCAGTGTAGTTTTGCGCAGTAATAGCTTAGTTTTGCGTGCGTTTCAGGCTGGGTCATAAGAACACGCAGGGTGTCCTGGAATCGCCGCAGCGCGTGTACAAGCTGATCGGGTTGGACGTGATAGCCGTGTCCTGTGGGAACGCACACACCGTGGCTCTCACCAACACAGGCGTAAATATCCCTGTCGTCGTCGTGCGCGGACCTGAGCCAGTAATGCAGCGGCGTCCTTGTCAGAGCGGATATATTCAGGAGCTAATAAACCCCAGAGATATTGTTAGCTCTTGCTGTAATGTTGACGTCGTTCATCATTGGACACTTCAGTGACTCATTTTGGACTGGGCATTGGTGGTACTTTTCTGCTCCGTGTAAATCTTTTAATGAGCAGTGGGAGTGAACATGATGGTGGGGTTGGGAGGGGGATGAATGGACAAGGAATGCATTGTGTTTCTCAAAATTCGAATCACCTAACTTGTGTTTCTTTGTTCTTAGCTATGCGTTTTTCTAGAGCGTGTTTGTCGATGTCGAATGGAACTGTTATAGTACCAACAATATTATTAAATACGGTGTCATTCTCTACATTCTATACTGCATTATATTCTCTATTCTATACTATGCTATATTCATTAAATATTCAAACTGCAGGTGTACACATGGGGATCTGACACGTATGGTCAGCTAGGCCTAGGAATGAACGAGACTGGTGGACCGCCGAGGATCGTTCAGGCTCTAGCGCACGTGCAGTGTGTGTCTGTCGTGTGTGGACAGTACCATACCTTGGCTCTCACAAGCACTGGAAGGTTAGTTGTAATAGCTTGCACTAATATATGACACGTACTTCATTACTGAATAGTAGTGCACGCATCTTATACACATTTCGAGCTAACAGTAGAATGCTGCATGTTCATTATTACTGATCGTGGCAAGTGTCTTAAATGAGGGCGTAAAATTACTATGATGTTAACATAATAATTTCATCAATACGAATCGACCGAGTGACATCATAATTTGTGGGTAACATTATTATACCCCCGCAAACGAAGTTTGAAGGAGGTATATCAGTATATATAGGAGTTATCTTATGGTCTGTCGGTCTGTCGGTATGTTGGTCGGGCGGGCGATCACGGGTACTAGGTCCGTTGCAAAATGTTTGTGGCGCGAACTACTTCACAGTTTTCAAGGGATTTCAATCAAACTTCATACACTTGATCACCATGAAGGGTTGATGTGCGTGACATATTTTTTGTGCGTCGGTCAAGGCGTTGCCATGGAAACCGTATCTCATCTTTGTTTTTTTGTTTTTTTAATTCCATCATTTTTTGTGTTCCGTGTATTCTTTACTCATAATGTATGCCACACCATGACCTTCCATTTTTTCTCCGACAAAGCGGTATTGCGGGGGTATTAATCACTATCAGTGATAGCTCTATCTAGTTCAATTTCGACATGACACAAAGTGTTAGTACTTCTGTGTCTGATGTCTGATTCTTGTGTCATGTCGAAACTCAATAATGTTACCCCACAATTTATGATGTCACTCCGTCGATCCGTAGTGACGATATTATCATGTCATAGTAAATTTATGTCTTGTTTAATTTTAGAGTGTACAGCTGGGGCTGGGGAGTGCATGGCCAGCTAGGGCATGGTACCGCAGATGACTGCCACCTACCAACCTACATCAGAGCTCTCGAGGGCGTTGTCGTGACGACAGTCTGTGCAGGCTATGCACATTCTGCCATCCTCGATGAGATGGTAATGGCTTAACGTCACTTGTCGCCATCACGTTGAAAGTTTCCTTTCATTCAAGTATTTGTGGCTGTTTCTTTAATTCTGATAAGTTTGAACGATTTGGTTGATTTTTTTAAGTCATTTTTTGGGTACACTGATTGGTTAAAAGATTCTCTTGCTTTTTTGTTGAGTTTTTGGTGACGTGGCTTACTGGTTGGTCGAGAGATTCTGTCGTGACCATGGGGCGTTGTCCGTCGTACGTCCGTCCGTCCGTCAACATTTGGCTACAGTCAACGATAACTTGAGAACTGTTTGACCCACATGTTTCAAATTGCATATAGTTGTTACTCTTATGGGAGAGAAGTGAACGTCCTGTTTTGGAGCACCCTAGTTGACCTACTTTTGAGCCACGCTTACTTTTTGGCAAAAATGGAAATGGCCATAAGTTCAGGTTCAACGGATTTTGCTCATTTTTGGTATGTGAATGAATAAGGCCTGGCCCCAAAACATATCACAGGGGTTTTTATTATTTTTTTAAATTATGCAAATTAGGTAGATTTTGGCAATTTTACTATGCATTTCGGTGTCTGCCTACGGTCAACGATAACTCAAGAACCGTTTGACCCACATGTTTCAAATTGCATACAGTTGTTACTCCTATAGGAGAGATTTGAACGTCTTATTTTGGAGCACGCCAGTCTACCTACTTTCGAGCCACGCCCACTTTTTGGCAAAAATGGAAATGGCCATAAGTCAGTTCAGGTTCAACGGATTTTGCTCATTTCTAGTATGTGAATGAATAAGGACTGGCCCCAAAACATATCACACGGGTTTTGATATTTTTTTTTAAATTATGCAAATTAGGTAGATTTTGGCAATTTCACTACGCATTTCAGTGTCCTTCCTATTTTGGAGCATGCCAGTTGACCTACTTTCGAGCCACGCCCACTTTTTGGCAAAAATGAAAATGGCCATCTAAATTAATTCGATTTTGTTAAATTTTGGTATGTGAATGTGTAAGGCTAGCCCCAAAACAGTTGTTACACCTATGGGCAGGGATGAGAATCTTCCGCGGATCCGCGGAAATCCGCGGATTTTACCGTCCCAGGGTCGATTTTGTGACACAGTCCCAGGGTCTCCAAACGTCTAAATCCGTTGAGAGAAAATTTTAGGGGTGTTAGAATGTACAAATTTTCATTTTACAGTCCAACAGTACCTTCATTTAATAACATTGTAATAATAGTTTGCTTTACAATATAGACACGGCTTAGTTCACTTTTTGAGATTGTCAGACGTTGGCCAGTGTGTGCGTTTATTTGACGCTGAAAGTGTGTGTGTGTATGTATGCCGCGCGTGCTACGCAGGCCGTATATAGTACGCGATCGATCGATCGTGTACATCAAAAGCCGCCGCGTCACGCGTGGCCTTGAGGCTCGTTTTATGAAGTAGCCGGCCCAGGCCCCACTGTTTCACGTGGTAGGAAACGTAGGTACGAACTGTTTCACTTCTCGCCAATGAAGTTCTGTTTATAATACATATATACATAACCATAAAAGGTGGTGTCGCGAGCTGCCTTTTTCGGTGACCTTTGAAAACGATAAAAAAATTAATGTTCCGCGATCGCGCCCTAGCTCCTAGGGTGTTAGGAATATTATATCGTGCGCGTAAGGGAGGATTTTTGGGCAACCTTTGGCGTAGCAAATAAAGCGTTTCCTTTCCTGATGTCTGATCACTGTGGTTTCGCTAAGCTTGTGAAATTCAAAAACTACCGTGAACCCCCTGGACGCAGGCCTCTTCGCCATTTTTCAGGCTGAAAACACAAATTGTCATTCTAATATGTGCGAGAGATGACAACGCCTATTACGTTTATTTTCGTCTACTGCGCTCAACACTCTACAATCATATCTATATAAGTGTAAATATTGTGTATTTAGATTCTTCGTTACCGTAATTTGATCTGGAATATTTTTATTGTTTTATTTGCGCGATATTCGGAAACCAAAAATGTGCCATCATTTAGGTGCGTAGCGCCATCTCTCGTTCAAGATTTTGGAGACTTTCAGATCTTGAAACATTTTATTTTCGACCATCAAAAAACTTATGCCTTATATCATTATCAAGAGTTATATAATGGGGAGATTGCTATATAATTGGGATTCTCCCATATATTACCTTGCTTTATATATCCCCTCCTCTTCTATTCATCACCCCAAGGTGGCAGCTACTAGTCTGTCATTGCACACTTTTCATGTGCTGTGAGCTATAGTGTCATTGACACTTTCATTTTAATTGATTTTTTTTTATACTGCCAGTATAGGTGACTTGGTGAAGGATTCTTTTTGCTCTTTTGTCGATTGTTTTTGTTCCGGTCGGTGACAGCAGATCTTTGTGATCTGACAGGGCCAAGTTTCACGTGATTGCACGGCCGCGTATTGGCGTCAGCTGCGGACTCGGACGTGGCCATCCTCCATGAAACTGACCACTCCGTACGGTATGGTGCCCACTCCCCGAGCCGTGCAGTATACTTTCAAGCGGATTCTTCCATAATGTAAGCACGGCAGAGGAATAATCGTCGTAGCACCCACTAACCGATCCGCTTTTCTCGTACGTATTTCAAAAACTTAGGCTTTGCCTGCTAACGACAATCACGCGCCTCCGACGTACTCGCCGCATTTTCCATAGCAAGTGTATTGAGTTCGCAGACGATTTGTGACTGGACACGGCTTACTCTCCGACATGTGTGCATTCGATCACATCCAGAATTACGTTCGATTACGTTAATTTTCCTCATTAATTCGCTGTTTAGTCGTAGCATAGCAAGCTGCCGATAACGATCGCACGTCGGCGAACGATTTACCGCGAATCAGACGATGAACGATTTACATTGAATCGGCCGACGAACGATTTCGCTGCAGGTGGCCGTCGCCGCATCGCGCCGCGTCTGGACGTGGGGCTGCAGCCGCGCGGCGGCGCTCTGCGAAGCCACTGAGCGCACGCAGGGAGGCCACCGTCTGCCCGCGCCGCCGGCCGCCGCCCGCCCGGGCTCGCGCGTCCGACGCCTGCAGAGCGCCGTGCACGGTGCGCGCGTCCGACGGCGGCGGCCGGCAACGACGAGTGATGAGAGAGAGCGCTCTGACTCGCTCGATTCCGAGGCTTCCCAGGACGAGCTGCCGTTTGTCTTCGGGTCGCCGGCGACCAACCTCGCCACTCTACAGACGCGCATACAGCAGCGCGGAGGGGGCGGAGGAGGAGAGTGAGAAGGAGGAGGAGGGGAGCAGGAAGGAGGAAGAGGAGAGCAGAAGAAGGAGACTGCGAACGGCCGACAGTAAGCAGGAGGAGGCGAGGAGGAGGAAGGGAGGACACTTTCTCGCACCATGGTACGACGCCGTTGGAGATCACAAATGTCATCGCCCGGAATATTACGCAGGCACGTTCACGCCGCGTGCGATCGCTGTCTCATCAGCGGCCTGCGGGAATATTACGCAAGACACGTTCACACGCTGCGCGTTATCGCGTGTCTCATCAGAGGCTGGCGGAATATTACGCAGGCACGTTCACCCCATGTGCGCCGATCGCATGTTCTCATCAGAGGCTGCGGGAATTATTACGCAGGCACGTTCACGCGTTGATCGCTGTCTTCATCAGAGGCTGCGGGAATAATTACGCAGGCACGTTCACGCCGCTCTTCACGCGCGCGACGCTGTCTCATCAGAGGCTTGGCCGCATATTACGCAGGCACGCTTCACCGCTGCGCGCGTCGATCGCTGTCTCATCAAGAGCGCTGCCAGGTAATATTACGCAGTACGTTCACCCGCTCCCGCGCGAGATCGCCTGTCTCATCAGCATGCGCTGCGGAATATTACGCCGGGTACGTTCACGAGCCGCTGCGCCGATCGCTGTCTCATCAGGAGGCGCGGGAATATTACGCCAGGCACGTTCACGCCAGCGCGCGATCGCTGTCTCATCAGACGCCTGCGCGCGGGGGGGGGAAAAATCATTACGCAGCACGTTCCCATTGCGGCCGCGCGATCGCTGTCTCATCCAGAGCCTTGTGGCGAAATATTACGCAGGCAGTTCAGCTTACCCGCGGCGCGATCGCTGTCTCATCAGGCTCGGGAAATATTACGCAGCGCACGTTCACGCTTGCCTGTCGTGCGCGATCGCCTCTCATCAGAGGCTGCGAGAATAATTACGCAGGCACGTTCACGCTTAGCTGCGCATCGCCTGTCTCATCAGAGCGCTGCAGGGAATATTAACGCCAGGCACGTTCACGCACGCCGATCGCTGTCTCATCAGAGCTGCGCGAATATTACGCAGGCACGTTCACGCCCCGTTTCTAAATCACCCTTCTCCAGTGCGCCGATCGCTGTCTCATCATTTGGCTGCGGGAATATCACGCAGGCACGTTCACACGCGCGCGATCGCTGTCTTTCATCAGAGGCCCTGCGGCGATATTACGCAGGCACGCTTCACGCGCGCGCGTCGCTGTCTCATCAGAGGCCTGTTGGGAATATTACGCAGGCACGTTCAGTCGCCTTCGCGCCGCGATCGCTGTCTCATCAGCAGCGCTGCGGCGAATATTACGCAGGCACGTTCACCCATGACGCCGCGCTGATCGCTGTCTCATCAGAGGCTTGCGGGAATACTTTACGAGGCACGTTCACGCGCGGGCTCGTCGCTGTCTCATCAGAGGCTGCGGGAATATTACGCAGGCACGTCACGCGCTCAGCGCGCGATCGCCTGTTCGATCAGAGGCTGCGCAATATTACGCAGGCACGTTCACTTCCTGCCTGCCTGCGCGCGATCGCTGTCTCATCAGAGGTGCGGGAATATTACCAGCACGTTACGCTTCACGTCTACACGCCCTCTCTTCTATCCTCTCCTTTCTACCCTTTCCCCTTTGATGCGCGGTATTGCTGTCTCAATCAGATGGCGCGGAATATTTACGCAGGCCACGTTCACGCGCGCGCGTCGCTGTCTCATCAGAGGCTGCGGGTATTTACGCAGGGACGTTCCCACGCGCTGCGCGCGCATCGCTGTTAATCAGAGGGCTGCCAGGGAATATTACGCAGCGCACGTTCCTGCGCGCGCGCGCATCGCTGCTCATCAGTACGGCTGCGTGCTCGGAATATTTACGCAGGCACGTTCACCGGCTCCTGCGCGCGATCGCTGCTCTCATCGAGGCTGCGGGAATATTACGCAGGTCCGTATTCAACTCAGCGCGCGATGCTGTTCATCAGAGGTGGGGAATATTACGCAGGTACGTTCACGCTGCGCCGCGATCGCTATGTCTCATCAAGAGGCTGCGGGAATATTACGGGCAGGCACGTTTCACGACTTCTTCTTACCCGTGCGCCGATCGCCTGTCTCACTCAGCATGGCTGCGGCGAAATTACGCAGACACGTTTCACGCGCGCGCGCGATCGCTGTCTCATCAGAGGCTGCCAGGGCAATATTTACGCTAGGCAGTTCACGCTCTTGACTGCGCGCGACGCTGTCTGCCATCAGAGTCCCTGCGGAATATTACGCAGGCACGTTATCCGCTCTGCGCGCCATCGCTTGTCTCATCATGATGGCTTGCGGAATATTACGCAGGCACGATTCAACGCCAGCAGCGCGATTCGCTGTCTCATCAGAGTGCTGCAGATATTACGCAGGCACGTTCACGGCGCGCGCCATCGCTTCTTCATCAGGGCCTGCGCGCAGAATATTAACGCAGGCACGTTTCACGCGCGCGCGATCGCTGTTCTCATCTCAGATGGCTGCAGGAATATTACGCAAGGCCGTTCACCGCTCCCAGCGCCGCATCGCTGTCTCGATCAGAAGGCTGCAGGTAATATTACTGGCAGCCACGGTCACAACCGCCGCGCGATCGCTGTCTCATCAGAGGCTGCGGCGAATATTACGCAGGCACGTTCACACGGCGCCGCGATCGGCTGTCTCATCATAGAGGCTGCTGGGAATAATTACGACAGACACAGTTCACTCGTGCGCGCGATCGCTGTCTCATCAGAGGACCTGCAGGAATTATTACGCAGTGCACGTTCACGCTTCTCCCAGCCGCGCGATCGCTGTCTCATCATGAGGCTGCCTGGAAACTTACGCAGGCACGTTCACGCGGCGCGCCATCGCTTGTCTCATCAGAGGACTGCCGGGAATATTCGCAGGCACGTTCCCACGCCTGCGGACGATCGCTGTCTCCATCAGAGGTCGTGCGGGAATATTCGCAGGCCATGTTTCACCTTCGCCTGCCCATGAGCCGCGATCGCTGTCTCATCAGAAGGCTGCGGATATTACGCAGCACGTTCACTCCGCGGCTGTGTATCCGCATGTCTCATCAGCAGGCTGCGCGGAATATTAGACGAAGGCACGTTCAACGCCCGCGCGCATCGCCTGTCTCATCAGAGGCTGCCAGGAATAATTACGCAGGCAGTTCACGCTGGCGCTGTGATCGCTGTCTCAATTCAGAGGCCGGCGGCGATATATTACGCCAGCGCACGTTCACGCCAGCGCTCAGCGATCGCCTGTCTCATTCAGAGGCTGCGCGGGAATATTAGCCAGCGACGTTCACGCTTGCGCGCGATCGCTGGTCTCATCATGCAGTCTGCAGCCGAATATTACGAGCAGTTCACGCGTGCAGCGCGATCGCTGTCTTCATCAGGAGGCTGCAGGAATATTACGCAGGCTACGTTCCACGCTCAGTGCATTCACCTTCTCTTTCGTCCTTCACTTGCTCGCGCGATTGGCTGTTCTTCAGAGGCGCTGCAGGAATTTACGCAGGCCATTCAGCTCCCGCTTGCGCATTGCGCATCGCTGTCTCATCAGAGGCTGCGGGAATATTACGCAGGCACGTTTCCACGCGCGCGCGATCGCTGTCTCATCAGAGGCTGCGGGAATATTACGCAGGCACGTTCACGCTCACTTGCGCGCGATCGCTGTCTCATCAGAGGCTGCGGGAATATTACCGCAGGCACGTTCACGTGCGCGCGATCGCTGTCTCATCAGAGGCTGCGGGAATATTACGCAGGCACGTTCACGCGCGCGTTATCGCTGTCTCATCAGAGGCTGCTAGGAATATTTACGCAGGTACGTTCACGCGCGCGCGATCGCTGTCTCATCAGAGGCTGCGCGAATATTACGCAGGCACGTTCACGCTTCCGCGGCGATCGCTGTCTCATCATCAGAGGCTGCGGGAATATTACGCAGGCACGTTCACGCCGCGCAGTTTATCGCTGTCTCATCAGAGGCCTGCCGGGAATATTACGCAGGCACGTTCACGTGCGGCGCGATCGCTGTCTCATCAGAGGGCTGCGGGAATATTACGCAGGCACGTTCACGCGCGCGCGCGATCACTGTCTCATCAGAGGCTGCCGGGAATATTACGCAGACACGTTCACTGTTGCGCGCGATCGCTGCTCTCATCAGAGGCTGCGGAATATTACTGCAGGCGCACGTTCTACGCCGCGCGCGATTCTGTCTCATCAGAGCTGCGGGAATATTACGCAGGCCACGTTCACGCGCGGCGATCGCTGTCTCATCAGAGGACTGCGGGAATTATTACGCAGGCACGTTCACGCTGCGCGCGATCGCTGTCTCATTCAGAGGCTGCGCGGAATATTACGCAGGCCACGTTCATCGCTGTCTCATCATAGGCTGCGGGGAATATTACGCAGGCGCGTTCACGCGCGCGTTATCGCGGTCTCATCAGAGGCTGCGTGGAATATTACGCCAGGGCACGTTCACGCCGCGCTGCGTATCGCTGTCTCATCAGAGGCTGCGGGAATATTACGCAGGCACGTTCCCATGCGCGCGTGATCGCTGTCTCATCAGAGGCTGCGGGAATATTACGCAGGCACGTTCACGCTGCGCCGTTATCGCTGTCTCATCAGAGGCTGCGGAATATTACGCAGGCACGTTCACCTGCCGCGCGTTATCGCTGTCTCATCAGAGGCTGGCGGAATATTACGCAGACACGTTTCACGCCGCGCGCGATCGCCTGTCTCATCAGAGGGCTGCGGGAATATTACGCAGGCACGCTTCACGTGCGCGCGATCGCTGTCTCATCAGATGGCTGCGGAATATTACACAGGCACGTTCACGCGTGCGCGATCGCTGGCTTATCAGAGGCTGTGGGAATATTACGCAGACACTGTTCCATGTGCGCGCAATCGCTGTCTCATCAGAGGCTGCGGCGAATATTACGCAGGCACGTTCACGCGCGCGTTATCGCTGTCTCATCAGATGGCTGGCGGGAATATTACGCAGGGCACGTTCACGCACGCGCGCATCGCTGTTCATCAGAGGCTGCGGCGGATATTACGCAGGTACGTTCCACGCCTTGCGCGCGATCGCTGTCTCATCAGACGGCTGCGGGAATATTACGCAGGCACGTTCACGCACCGCGCGATTGCTGTCTCATCAGAGACTCTGAGCGGGATATTACGCAGCGTACGTTCACGCGCGCGCGATCGCTGTCTCATCAGAGGCTGCGGGAATATTTACGCAGTACGTTCACGCCCCGCGCGCATCGCTGCTCTCATCAGAGGCTGCGGGAATATTACGCAGGCACGTTCACGCGCCACGCCATCGCTGTCTCATACAGGCCTGCGGATATTACGCAGGCACGTTCGCGCTTTGGCTGGCGACCCCACAAGGCACCGGCTCGCGATCGCCTGTCTGCTGCATAGCCCCAGTCTCGTCGGGTGTTTTCATTCC